AGAGATGTCCTGTCATCGTCCACTTTTACGATGTAAGGGAGGGGAAGGGAAAAAGGCACCGCGTTGACTGCTCGCTTCGACGCAACTTGATTTATGATGGTCACCCGCACGAGTCGAGGAAAAATAATATCTCCGGGAGTGTATCGTTAGCATGATAATGAACGCCTATAAATAATACCAATGTATGAACCAGAGACGCGCGATTCGCTCTTTGTCCGTATTTGGGGGGGGGGGGGAATGGCTTTGTACGATAAATACAATCCATCACGGGATATCCAACTTCATTAATAATAATAGTTATGGTACGATACGTCCTCAGCTATTCCTTGGTATTACAATAATAATAATAATAATAATACCAGCTAATCGCTCATACGAGTGGTACACAAGGAAAAAAAGCTCGTGTTTATCGCAGTAGTTCACGTGCACTCGCGTTGTTACTCGATAACCAGCTTCGCTCGCGAATAAACTCTGCTTTTGAGCCACATCAAACTTGCATAAAAGTCGCGGACGCTTTTTTTCTCCTATGCTTTAATAAAACGCAGAGATGAAGGAATAAGAAAAAAAAAAAACCCCTCGCGCAAACACGTACTTTTGGACAATGGAGCACCACCACACTCGTGAGACAAGAAAAGTGTAGAGAAGGAGGTGTGAAAAAAAAAGTAATATAAACAGGGTCGTCGAAAACGACTTCACGAGTCATTGTTGGATTTTCAGCGGACGAGCTTTTCCAGGTATAGGTGTGCAGGTGCTTTCCTCGAGAGGGGTCGCGAGCCACTTGGTAGTCATAAGAGACCGGGAGGAGGAACAAAAAAAAAAAGAGCGACCGGTTGGATGGAAGATTAAAGATTTATTAACGAGATGGAGAACCTCCTCGTCTGGAACGTTTTGGACGGATGCGGGACGGCTGTTTTACGTGTCCAACAAAAGCGAAGAAGATCCATTATTTTTTAATATTTATGTTATGTTAATAATTTGGTAGTTTCACAAAAAAAAAAAAAAAAAAAATCTTTATTCAACTTCAAATTATATTGTGTGCAAATTGCGGCCTAGCTTATATATCTGTGTCGTTTGAAACAGAGTTTGATGCTCCATTAGCCGAGTCACTCGTCGCACTGGTCATTACGGCGATTGAGTTATGATAAATTAAGCGAGAATCAATCTAATGGTTTCAGCAAATTATGGTGCATTCGCCAGATAATACAATTTTGTTGCGGGGAAAACGCGGTGTCTGACCAAACGTTGACTTGAACTACTGTAATCGGAAAAAATAGACAAAGATCACGTCTCGGAGTAAAAATCATTTGTCTATTTTATGTGGAATCGTTGGTATTAATCACGTAAAAATTCAGGTCGGTCGTTTACAGCGTGGGTCATAAGAGATACCGCGAAAAGCGTTCATCAAACACTTTTTGTGTACAACAAATCTTCCATCAGCTGTAATTTAATTCAATAAACATCAGCCCTCATCCGAGACCTCGTTAGCGCGTTATATTGTCAGGGGAGAAAAACAAACGCCCTCCCAGGTGTTCGTTAATCGAGATGGGGTCCATAAAACCTTCGGAAAACTGCTCTAATTAATCACCATGAAGAATAAATTGATAAAGTGAAAGAGGGTGTCACGAAGTAACGGTACTTTTACTATATAATATGAGTATATGTGGTTGAATCAGCGATTTAAATGTTACAACTATTTCGAATGAGTGTGGATAAATATAGGGGATTACGAAAAACGCAATTATTGCACACCTAATAGCATAATGGCTTATTGAACAAAAAAAATCATACCATCAGGTTTTTCATTTTTATCTTCATTAGGAAATAGCTGTACTTCGCGTAATTTAACTTTAATCGTATCTCTGTTACTGTAAAATACTGCATTGAAAATAAATTTGGCTTTTACGTAGCTTACGAGATTCGTGAATCCAAACTTTAGTGAATGTTCACTTTGGTTATTTTTTTTTTTTCCATTAAAAAATTTTAAAGTAAATTTTAATCAAATATTTCCTATACTTACATCCTCACTCACAAAATAAATCCTGTCCGACTTGTGAACGGATATTTTTTTAATTTACTTAAAATATAATTTTTTACTGACAGTGTAATGCATTATTTATGCTAAAAGAATGTCCTTTGTGTACTACTTATGACACGGTGCTTACCAAATTATTCCTAGCAAAAAAACATGCATCACGAATCAAAAGAAAAATTAATTTAGAAAAAAAAGAGTCAAAGTATTTAAACTTTGCTGTCTAAAGTGTACGTAGCACTTATATAGAAAACTTCTCAATTTTGTATCGTGAGTTAAACAGTGAAAAATAAAAAATTATTTTTTGAAACGATTAAAAAATCTCTAAAATAATCGTGCCCGAGTCTGCAAACTTGACGCATTCGTGCTTTGGATTTTCACTCGAAAATCAAACAAATCAGTGCCATTTATCGCAGTTGCACACGCAGAGAGCCAGCATCGCACCGATCCCCCGTTTGAAATGAAATATTCTCTAAATTTCCTTCCTTCGAGTTCATCTCAACTTTCGAGCGCTCGCTTTATTTATTTTCAATCAAGCGCGCAAATCGAAACACCGCGCCCTGCTCGACGCAAATTTCGGTCATTAGAAACTCCCGACCCCAAATCAACTTTTTAATTGCATACAAATCCAAAAGCGCCTCGTTTGCGAATTTCGTACTATTTTTTTTTTTTTTTTTTTCCCGTCTACTCCCAAGTATACCTGTAAAAAGACAAATGTCGAACTTGAAGAAAACAACGGAGGGAAAAAAAGGACCGCAAGCTCCCTGCTATTGCCTCGTATTCAAATATTCCTCCTACCCTTCAACTTTCTACACGTTTACTCTCTCTCTCTTTTTTTCTACGAGTTGCGGGGGGGAAAGCCGCATCCGCATGCAATGCGAGCATGTCAGTCGTGAAAATTGCAATGTCGAAAACAAAAACACACCCACAACCAAGTGTGTATATATACATGCACGTTGTCTCTCTACCGCGCGTATAGTCAATCTTAATGTTTGCCAAAGTTACGTGTGTAGCCTATACGTGTGCATGTACGGACTGTGGAGTCAAAGTTACAAGTTTCCTCGATGCGACGCTTTTACCGGAAAAAAAAAGAAGAAGAAGAAAAGAAAATACTCGAGAGTTGGGAAGTTTTCTTTAGGCGCTTACTTTCTAGAAAAAAGCTCTTTTTTGGACTGCATCCGCGCGAGCTGTAGAAATCGTCTTTTCTGTTGTTAGTGACAATAAATTTCAATTTAAAATTACGAAACGCGAGCTTTTTAAAGCGAACATTTAATTGTAAGCTCAATGCGTTTAATTTCACGAATAAATACGCAAATTTGTAAATGATCTTTAACTAACACTTTTATGACACTCATAAATGAAATAACACTTAATCGTTGGGTCGCGTAACTTTTTTTTTTTTTTTGCCTTATGTATTAAAACACTATTAAAACGAGCCGAATAAAAAACAGCTCTGCATCGAAAATCGTAAACGCGCGCCAGCTGCGATCGAGCGCAATAAACATGTACACGAACGATCGTGGCTTTCAATGGAAATTCAATAAACGGTTGGCATTGTGTTTTGCGCAATGATGCAGTATATCATCCCCCCCCCCTTTTCCCAGCACGCGCAGGTGAAAATTAAATCAAACGTGGATTTCCGCTCGACAAAATGTATTTGCCCAACGACTCGAATGAAGAATCGTCGCGAGCGATAATACCTTCGTTTACGTGCACTTTTTCCCCCCGCGCAATCGATAATTTAATACGACCACATGGAATACCCGACTTGAGTATATATATCTTGAACAATACAAACGAGCGAAGGCGAAGGAAAAAAAAAAAAAATACTCGCAAGGATACACGGCGACGAATACACAGCCTCTTATTCGAGTTGGTCACTCGAGAGTGCATAAACGCGCCCATACCGCGTCCATTGTAGTACCCGGGTATCGGGTGGGTGTAGGAGTGACAGCTGCTCCCGATGTACGTATGCAGATGGAAAGTTATTGAAATGGAGTGGAGTCGAGAGCGGAATCGTGTTTATTTTGGGGAAAACACTTTGAAGACGATATACGTGACTATCGGTCGATTCGTTGCGGGATCGAGTAATGCAGGCGACGTACGTGCATTTGTGTATGTATCGGTTGTGTGCTGTTCGAGAGGATGGATTTCAGGGGCAGGGAAATGAAAAAAAGGAGGGAGGACTACTCGAGGCGGGGAGATCGCGAAGCGACGACGGTGAGTTTTCGTCGGGGGCTTTTGCCTCGAGTGGCGCTTAAATTTAATAAGCTCGAGTCCTACGGGGGGATGGAAAAAGCTACTCTCGGATCGTTGCCCAGAGAGAGCTGGAATATTACTCGGAGAGAGAGGTATAATATGCTCTCGGCGGAGGATGGTACTCACTGGAAACAGCCAAGTGATATTTTTTTTTTTTTTTTTTTTCCTTTTTTTTACAATTTTTATGAGTATTTACGAAGATTTTTATTTCAGTACCCGCGGCTAAGGGATCAAAATTCGCTTCAAAAGAGTAATTTTGATTCGAGCCGAGGTCACATCGCTCGAATGAAAAATAAAATATCAGTCCGCAAGCACGCTGATTTATATCCGCTATGAAGCACTAGGCAACTTTTTTCATCCGTTTGACTCGAGATAAATTTTTTTTCGCCGCCTCCGGAGATCGGCACATGGCAAGAGATTCTTTTCAGTTTAATTTTAAACCATGCAATGGGTACAACCGCCAGATGATTATTAAACGTGAGTAAGACAAATTTACGAGTAAAGTGAAAGCTCGACAATACCATACACAAGGAAAGTGCGCGATCAACAATTTTTTTTTTCCTCTCATCAAATAAATTCCCGTCCTTTCTCTTAAAAGCTCATCCAAACACTCTAATGACATTAAGGGTGAAAAAAAAAAAAAAAAAAAAAAACAATCGAGAAAAAAAAGCTCACGCGAAACTTTTTGCGTGGCATCGAGCAAAGCACCAACCTGTTACTTTGATGTCCAACAGCAGTAGTGGCTATTCCCGCTCCGACTCCTTTCACAGCTGGAGACTCGTGCACCTCCGAGTTTTCACATAACTCGCCAGTGTCCACAAACCCGTCACTCCGACAATAATTGCAACAACAATGGGGCCAACAAGAGCAATCGCAATCACAACAGGTTGCGCCCAACATTTGCCGCCCGTGTTTTTTCGAAGGTGATGGAAAAAACGTGCTCTCGTTGGGTACAGTTTGAGGTAAAAGAGGGACCCGCGCATTTATGCATACGTACATGCATCCACACGCGTATACGCACCGACGGGGATACACCGATGGGGGTAGAGAGGCCGTGCACCGCCACGGGGTGATATCTTGCGTACGGGCGTGCTGCCCGGCTTGCACTGCCCGGGTCTCTCTCCCGTTTTTACCTCTTCCCCTCCACCAATAACAGCACTGCCTCTCTCCCGCAAGAGCCACCTGACGCTCCGGTCTCCCTCTCTTTCTCACCCACAAGTTCTACGCAGCACACCCCACCGAGAACACACAACTCTGCGCCCTCTAAAGCGCGCGCATGTACCTATACATACATATACCTCTCTCTCTCTCTCTCTCGTTTTTCCATCGCATTTCTATGGCTTTTCTGGGGCTTTTCTTCACTGGAACAAAAAGGATCGCACGTGCGTAGACAAAATTTTGCGCCTTTTTTTACTCTGTAAAACGTTACGGTACATTTTATGCTCGATGAAACTGTATTTATATTTGGGTAAAGAAATGTATTTTAGCTCTATGCAGCGATATAAAATCCCTGTGGATTTTTGTACTTCGCGATAAATACCTGCTGCGTTGCATGTCATGCGGTACCTCAAAAAATTACCCGTCATTCGGGATGAAAACTATTCACGGCGCCTTTGGTGCTGCGCAAAGGTATTTTTGTGAAAATATAAAAATTTTCGTGTGGAATAAAAATGACCTTCTTTCAATGGGGTAAAAAATTTTCGAAATATTCCATACATTTTTGAGAATAGGAGAAACTTCAAGTTTTCTGGAAAATGTTTCATGTTCGATGAATACTGACATGGGAAATAGAATGGAGAAAATCGAACGTTGACTACGAGAAAAGAGAAATTTTTTAATTTCACTATGCAAGGTATACATTTTTTTTTTTTTTTTTTTTTTAGCAAAAGCTATCGATTTTCGATACTTTGAAAATAAAACTGAATGTGATTGATACCAAATTAAATGATCATTGATGATGAAACGTTGGATTTTCAAATATTTCGATAAAAACGTTTCGAAGGAATTCACCAATTGTAAAAAAAGAGATGAATCATTCGTGTGCGGAAAAGTAATTTCACCAAGTGCCAGTCCGCCTGACCAAACGCGGCTCATACTACTGATTATTGCCTTCCTTCCGCAAAAAGTACGCATCGCACGAAAAAATATTGCCTTTTCTCACCTTCTCCTGTCATCGTGATAAAAAAACCTAGAGTACGTGTACATCGCGAAAAACGACGCCATCCCGATTCAATTTCCAATATATCCAGGCCCTTTCGATTTTTCAAAAAAAAAAGAAAAAAACAGAGAGTAAACTCAGGTCAGCTGCGTCAAAAGATCACGTGTCAGCCCCGCCATCGGGACACGTCCTTCCAAACAAGTCCCTTTCACTACACGAGGGAAAAGAGTCACGGACGAGATCGAACGGGTGAGAGGCTCGGGTGTAGAGTTGTCGCTCACCTACACGTACCTAACTCATTGTTTCCAAGAGTTTGCTTCGCCGAACCAACCCTTTTTTTCCCCACTCGACCGTCCATGCGCCGCAATCTTCTCTCCCGGAGAGCTTTTCGAATTCCACGTCCCGCCTCTCTATCTCCCTTCCACCTCGATTCGTTCCTTCCACCGCACGTCCGTCTTCCTCTCCTTTGCCGTGATTTTTCTTTGGCCCCCCTCCCCCAATTTAGATCGAGCTTTTTCGATTTCCACCGCTGCTCTTTCCCCCCGATCTGTCATCCCCCTCCTTCGGCAGAGGTGATTTTTATCGAGACGCGGGATTACTCGGCCCACTTGGCTGTACCCTATTTGCCGAGCAGCGCCCTTTATCGGGGCAAACTTCAAAAGAAATGCGGGGGGAGAAACCGGCCGACTAGCTGAATCGTTGGCCCTCTCGATTGTCAAGATTTACTCGGCCCCACCTCCATTTTTTTTTTTTTTTTTTTTTTTTTTTTCTCAAAGAGCTGCAGTGCGCTAATCGCGCCGTCGAGGCGAACGTCTTCTGCAAACAAATCGGAGGGACGTCCGCTTCGTCGAGCCCTAATTTCCGGATCTGGTCAAGTGTAACTCGCATCCCGCTGACGCGGCTAAAAGCAACATTGGGCCGCGGTGGATATGCTTCGCGATTCCGATCGAGGGTGCCATTGTTCTCCGCTTGTACAGTATGTATAGATTTAGCAGGGGGGCCTCCGAATGGACACTCCCTTAGCGATGGGATAAAGAGGGCGGCTTTTTTTTTTTTTTCTTCCATAATTTTACACAGGAGCTTTGTCGTCCATGTCGACGGTGATGATGGTGCCGAAACTTCCATGAATATACCTCGGGACTGTACAATAGAGCTTTCTCTCCCGTCTCTTTTTTGTTTGCCCATTCGAATTTCAAGGCTCGTTTACTTTAGATGACTTGTACTCGTTGCTAAAGAAAAAAAAGGGTCCCTTTTGCGCGGAGTGGCAGTATTGTCACAAGAAAGAGTCCACGAGTGGTCAAAATTACATCCCATAGTTGCAAGCTCGTAGGATCGATACGACTAGAGTAGCAGGACCTACCGAGTGTAACTCGTTGGCATTTGCGTCCTTCCCTCCGATTAGAAACAACGTACGCCAACTGTACCTCCAATGCACTTTGAAATTTTAGTTTCCCAAACAGAGAGAGAGAGAGAGAGAGGACCAACTCTAATCTGCTCCGTGGGTCGGCGGCGACGGCTGCACCCCGCGGCAGCTGGTCTCGAGTTTCGCCGTAACGGACCGGCAGAAGCTATATATGTAACTGCGCCGTTTGCGGGAGTCGAGACTTACCGGCAGGTACGCACCTACACCGTGGAACCATCCTAGCGTTTGAGCGCTGATTGGTTTGCGCGTCAAAATTTCGAGGGATTTGAAAAAGAAAAAAAAAAAAATCAGGACTGGGATCGCAGTGGCGCGTTACAGCGTTACATTAGCGCGTGGGGATGCAAACTTTTAGGGCCGTGTCTGTGTATGGCTTATACCCTCGTTATGCGAGTATATGTACCTGCAACGCAGGGAAATTTCGTTTGCAACAACAACACTGTTATTTGCCACGTGTATCGAACAAAGTTCTAATTACTCGGGGGGGATATATGTTAATTACCGGGAACAATAATAATGGTATATGTCTGGTAACGAGAAGGAGAAAAAAAAAGAGGGAGAGGGGCAGGAGGAGGGAACGATTTTTCACGCGATTCGCGGGGAGGTGCAGGAGGGCAGATCACCTTGACCGGAGTCATTATTTTAATAATGGGAGGCTGATCACTATGTTGGGCTCGTGTAAATGCATGCAAGCGCGAGTGCGTCTGTGTACTACTTTGCGCGAGGATGGGTATTAAAGCCATTGGTTTTTTTTCTTTTTTTAATTGGTGCCCTTTTTTCTCGCGTACTTTATTTTTCCTCCCCAACAATCGTCGTTTTTTCTAATTGGGGGAGCCAGTTTCTCATTAAAACTGATACGTTAACGCGTTTCAAGCTCAGTGGGGGAGGGATGCGAGTGAAAAGTTTACTGTTTGATAAAAAAAAAAAAAAAGTTTTAAATAAAATATCACAGGCATGAGCAGAATCGTTTGCTTGACAAGTATAGGATTTTCGATGTTCCCACGATACGTTGGTATAATATTTATTAAATTAATTTCATGCTATTGCTTAGCGATATGGTTTATAAACAATATGCAAGTACGCCAGACATTATAGCAACTCTATTAAAACGTCAAACAAAAAAAATTCCTTGTACGCTCGGCATTTCGTAATGACTCGAGCACATGCATTTTACAAATTTGCCCATACATATACATATATACGTATATACCTATGGGTGTAAACTCCTTGTGGCAACGAGCAAATCCTCCAGTCTCCCTTAAACCAAGAGCCCTTTCACGCCCAGACGCGCGGACACGCACTCGCTCGAGTGATTCGGACACTGTACCCCCCCCCTCCATTGTCCAACTCTGGTCCATTGTTAACAACACTCGCCGACTCTATTGTGCCCAACGAGACGTGTATACGTACATATACATACGGTGCACATCCAGTTGGGGAGTGCCCCAATTAGTGCGTCGCGGCCCCGTCAGCCTATACCCTTACTTTATTGCCGTCTTCGCTTGCACAGCGCCACGGTGCGTGTGTTTGCAAGGTGGCGGCTAAATTTACACCCCCTGCCACGCCTGTGCGTCCTATCTTCTCGTTTCTCCCCCGGAATACGTATGGCCGCACGCGACCGTGGAATTTATTTACCCACGAGTCGATGACGTAAGTCGGGAGCAAAAAAAAAAAAAAAAGAGCCACGCTACCGGAGATTCGAGGGGGGAGATAACTGTACGGTATCGCGGCCCCGCGGCTTGATTTTAAAAATGCTCCGACGATCCCGCGAAGATACGAGATTCCGCGAGGAGAAAATATACCAGTCAAATTTTTTCTTTTTTTCTATTTTTTTTTTTTTTTTTTTTNTTTTTTTTCATAAAAGCACGGTCGGGCGGGGGGTGATTTTTTGCGAAAGCGACACGTCGTTCGTCATGTCCGAATGACCCCGCGACACGTCTGGCCAATACCACCTCCTTCTGTCTTTGGATTTGGCCGTTAGTGTCCACTATCCCTTTTCGTACTGTTATAGTATCTACAGTATCGCATTGTATTTTAATTGCAATCGCGTATTTCTAAAGGGGATGTTCCCATTGGGCGGTCGAGTGTGGCCTTTCTCTCGAATAAAATAACTCTGTATAGTGCACCGCTCGCTTCGAAGGATGGGCTTTTCATTGGTTAAAAATTACATGGTAACGTCGGACCAAATTGTTTACTTGTGAAATACTTACTTGTTTGAAGATGTAGTTTTTAGTTGTTTTGCATTGATGAAAGAAAAAACGGAAAAGCACTGCCTTTCTTTAAACGGTACGGAACGGCAGTGGAAAAATGTTTGTTGTTCTTTTTTATTCGCCCAAAGAGCATGCAACGACGTTTCTTCACGGAAATGAGGAAGAATCGAAAAAATATAGCGTTCGGTTTTCCCGAACGGCCGAGAAGAGCGTCGACGACAGCAAAGTGGTGGGCAATACGTTATTTACTTGTGAAGAAACAACTAGAGGGGAAACCCAGCGAGAAACAGCCGGTGGT